GGAGGGATGAGCCGGGAGGGATGAGCCGGGATGCCCGCAGAGCTCGGCGGTGCGCGGGTCCGGAGCTCCCACCTGAGCGCACCGTCCCGCTCCATCGTGGGAGCCCCCGGGATGCGCCCCGTGAGCCGGAGCGTCCCGGGCACGGGGGAGAGAGCCMTGAAGTGGTGCCCTTGGTACTCCTGGGTTTGTTTCTCAGCCCTGAAGGCCCAGGAAGGTGGAAATTTGAGATGAGTTTAAGCTGAAGTCACAAATATTCACATGGGTCGGTCATAACCAGACAGCTCACCGTGCCCTCTCTCAGACGGGAAATCACTGCCGAGGCTGAGCCCTTCAGCCTGATTTTATGCTCGTTCCTGGAAAGTCCGATTGCCCTCTACTCTGACTTATCTGCCATGTTCATAGGACTTATGGGAGATGAGGCTCTAATGGGCATGGTCAACTCATTCTCTGATTTTCCTGTTGATTTGAAAAGAGTCAAGCGTCTTCCTTTGTATATGCCTCTCCCTTGGGATACCTTCTGATGTGTACCCCAGCAAAATGCAGCCAGGGGACAATCTCAGAGTCCTTGTTCAGACAAAAATCCCACCACCCCCTTATGGGTCAGCTTAGCTGAGGACTTCAGACCTGTTTCCAGCCAGCCACAAGCACCCTGGAGATGGACTTTCTACTTCTGCAGCTAAATCTGCTTCTTGCTCTCACAAGATATTACTCTTTATAATAAGTTCCTGGGGCATGGGAAGGAAATCCCCTGGGGAAGTGCCAGTCATTTTCTAGGAGCTCTGACATTACCAAAATCCCAGTCAGAGCAGGSTGTGTGCTTGAAGCTGCAATGTCCTCATCTGATTTAGGAGAAGGCTTCCCTGCAGTCAGCCCAGAAGCCTGAGCACATAAAGCATGGGATGGGAAAGGACTATTTTGCTAATTCCCAGCTTCAATCTATTCACTGCTTGTTCATTTCCATTTGTCCCTGTATGATACTATTGGATCTTCAGAGCTCTCCTTCTAAGAGGAAAACAAATAAACCCTTCTGTTCCCATTTTACATTAATTTAGCCTYCAACTCCACTTTTAAAGATATCAGCTCATCGCCAATCTGTCCTTGTGAATTACTTTCATGCAGTACTGTTTCTAGTTACAGTTCTTTTCCTCTTAAAAAAAGAAAAAACCTGACATTTAAAGTCAAAGATCTGAACATAAATCAAGCTTATCTAACATAAATCAGAGTCAGATCCAGAATGTGTTACAATACCTACTTTTTCACAGCTTGGGTCCCTTAGAGTTGCTTGCTTCCAAGAAAAGCATTCCAGTGTTCACTCTAACTGTGTGGATGAATGCTGTAGGACATGTCATCTCCAGGCTGACAGCTGCTCCAAACACATGGGGACATGAAAGTGTTGTCATTGGCTCAGTGCCTGTCTGGCTGCTCCTTTCCCCTTTGGCTAAGCAGCCTTGCAGCCTCAGAAGGGGTGAGTTTGGGCCAGGGATCATCTCCTTTGTGCTGCAGAGCTGGAGCTGGGGATGAAGCTGGAGAAGCTGAAGCTTCCTCTGCTTGCACAGGCAGTGCTGCAGGTGGATCACAAAGACCTGCAGCCAGGCAGAATATCCAGCTGCAGGGACATCTCCCTCATCCCGTGGCAGCAACAAGAATGCAAAGTGTTTAGAAAATCCCATGTGAGGATCTGTCTGTGCTGAAGCCTGAGGGRCCATGGCTGTGCTGGGGTCAGGCTTCTGTCTGACTCAGTGACACTCTGGTGTCGGTGTCCCTGTGATGGTTAGGGCTGACCACTTCTGCTTCTTGTTTTTTGATCCAWGAGCCTCAAAGTGCAGCTCTTCTTAAGAAAGTCAGACAAAAGAGGAAGACTTTGTTCTGGAGAGTGTATTTCCTACAGCATTTCAAAYAGGCCTGTGCAAAAGTCTGGATTATACACTGAAAGTATCCCTCTTTGAAGCTGTTGTGGGTTAAGTTCCCAGTGAATTTTTTCCCATTTGTGATCTGAAAGACACTGGGMGAAGGAGGGGTTGACACCCAGGGGACGGATGGCAAGGTGACTGAGAGAACAAAAGCATGTCTGATGGCTCAGGCACACTACAAAATCGTTTAGGGGAGCGGAGGGGAGTAGAGATTTGGCATTTTTTAGCCGAGCATGTTCAGTCTGTCCAGGCTGGGAGCGGGGACGGTCGTGTGGTGCCACCGGGGCTCTGGGGTTTTGCTGTGGAGTTCTCCCGCCGCCTGCCTGAGCCCGCTGCTTACCAGAAAAAGAGAGAGGGTCCCAGGCGAGAAGGTCCCAGGCGAGAGGATCCCAGAGGGTCCCAGTCGAGAGGGTCCCAGGCGAGAGGATCCCAGGGGAGAGAATCTCAGCCGAGAGAATGTCAGCCGAGAGGGTCCCAGGCCAGAGGATCCCAGCCGAGAGGATCCCAGGCGAGAGGGTCCCAGGCGAGAGAATGTCAGGCGAGAGGGTCCCATCCGAGAGGGTCCCAGGCGAGAGGATCCCAGAGGAGAGAATCTCAGCCGAGACAATCTCAGCCGAGAGGATCCCAGCCGAGAGGATCCCAGCCGAGAGGATCCCAGCCGAGAGGGTCCCAGCCGAGAGGATCCCAGCCGAGAGGATCCCAGGCCAGAGGGTCCCAGGCGAGAGGGTCCCAGCCGTGCCCTCGTTGACGGAGCCTTCCCCACGGCCAGCACGGAGCCCGGTGCCGCTGTCCTGAGGGCTCGGGGCAATCGCCGCTTTGGCGCTCTGGGCTGGGCCCGCCATGGCCCCTGAGGCGGCTCCGGGCGGGCAGCGCCCCCTGCCGGCCATGCCATAACTGCACCGAAGGGAAAAGCGCCGAGCGGCTGCGAAACGCGCGTTATTGTTGCTACGTTTTGTTATAAATGTGTTTTCTAGCAAAGAAATATTATTCACTTTCCTACGTTTTTTGCTGGAGAGACCCATAGATTTTGAAGTTATGATAATTTGGAGGGAGGGGTTTTCTTTCCATCACAGGAAGGTTYCCGCCTTCCTTGGCAGACATTCATCTTTTTAAACCAAGACATCCTGTGGTGGCAATAGAAAGCCACAGGGTTTAGAAAACCACATGTGAGGAGGATCTGTCTGTGCTGAARCCTGAGGGACCATGGCTGTGCTGGGCTCAGGCTTCTGTCTGACACTCTGAATGTGCTGTCAGTGTCCCTGTGAGGGTTAGGGCTGACCATTTCTGCTTCTTGTTTTTTGATCCATGAGCCTCAAAGTGCAGCTCTTCTTCAGAAAGTCAGACAAAAGAGAAAAACCCCGTTCTGGAGAGTGTATTTCCTATAGTGTTTCAAACAGGCCTCTGGAGAAGTCTGGGTTATATAGTGAAAGTATCCCTCTCTGAGGCAACGACCTGGAAAAATAAATAATGGTGGCCTGTCCAAATTGGATTTATGGAGCTTTAACAACGCTGACCCATGAATTTTGATAAATATATTTCTACTATTAATAAAGGCACTCAGCTGCTCAACCATTGAGGGAGGTATAAAAGCTTTCTGGATGAGCAGTTGCAATGCACATTTTTGCTGTATTGCTTTCCATAAATCCATAGCTGGGAGCCTCTTGGCCATGTACAAAGGTCTCTGGAGAGCACAGAGCTGGCACAGTCTGCTCCCCTCTCTCTGTTTGATCCCAGTGCAAGGAGTAAAAATGTGGAACTGGCTRGAAAACTCTCTGTTTTAAATATCTCCAGCTGGATCCTCTTTGTCTACCTGGCAGCTTGAAGTCGCTGTGACAGGGGAAGGAAGAGAATAAGGAAGAACTGTACCCCAGGATTAAGGACCAAAAATCTGCTGTTCTGCAACTCTAAGAGTTGCACAGTTCCAGCTTTTGACAGAAAAGTCAGATGATGCTCCATAACTGCAGGAGGCTGGTGAAAGGGTATTTGATGTACTCTGGAACTTTGCTATGTGCAGCTCTCAGTGTTACTCACAAATGGAAAAATAGAAGGTCAATCCTTTCAGGGTAGATAAAGAAGGTGACCTGGATAGGGAAATGTGAATTAAAACAGAGGAGGCTGGACTTGAACTGGCTATTACAGCTCAGGARAAAGATGCTGGAGTCCTCACTGATGGTTCACTAAAATTGTAGCCTTGATGTGCAGCAAGAAAAAAAAAAAAAAGCCAACAAAATGTGGTGGTGTCGTCAGGAAGGGTTTGAGATTACAAAATAAGAAAGAGAGCATCTCCTGCCTGCTGTGTAACAGCTTGGTGCACTCACATCTGTGCAGGTCTGGCCTCTGATCACAGAATCCCATAATCATGGAACTATTTGGGTTGGAAGTGACTTTTAAAGGTCACCTGGTTCTTCCYCTCTGTCATGGTCTTCCACTAGATGAGGTTGCTCAGAGCCCCATCCAGCCTGATCTGGAAAGTTTCCAGGGATGGGGCATCCACAACCTCTCTGAGTAATGTTTTACCACCTTCATTGTGAAAAACTCCTTCCTTATGTCTAATCTGAATCAAATCTCTTTTAGTTTAAAACCATCACCCCTTGTCCTATTGCAACAGAACATCTTAGGATGTAAGAATGTAGTGGACTTAGAGCAGGACAACTGAGATCAAGGGCTGGGGTAGCTGCAGGATGAGGGTGTCCTGAGGAGAATGGGATTTTCCTCTGGACAATGGGGAGTGAAACTGCCAGCCCTACAAAATCATAAAGACCTGGTGATGCATAGYGAGGGTTAGAGGCCATCGATCAGTCTGGTGGATTGGCTCAAAATGGACAGAAAGGACTTTATATGGAGCAGGTGGGAGAATGAACTTCTGGAACTCACTGCCACAGGAGGCAGTGGAAACAAATAGGATCAGCAGGTTTATAAAAGGAAGAGCAAATTTGTGAGCAGCAGCAGGTCAACAGRCAGATGCTGAAGGCAACAGGCAGGAAGGCACCCTCTGGAATTGCTGTTACTGCTTGTGTGGGAGCTGGAGGAGCACAACCAAAGCTGTGCCCTCCCCAGATGGCATCTCCTGCTGCTGAAAAATACAGAAAAGCAACACTGGCAGAGAGGAAGCACTGATGTTACCAGCAGAGCATTGCATATGAGCTCAGCTCCAAGCAAAATCAGATCTCCCAGGTGGTTCTGTGTGGTAGGAAGACAGGGCAACCAGCAGGAAGAAAAATTTTGCATTTCTATTCAATTTCCAGCTTTGTAGTGAAAATCTAATCAATGCCCATTTTCTATCTTCTACCACTTTTTTCTTTTTCCACTGGAAAAACAGGCAGTGGAGGAGGTGGGAGTATCCTAAAAGGTTTGAATTAAAGTGTATTTCAACCATTTCTTACTTTCAGAGTGCTTGCCTGGGGAAAAAAAAAATCCCCTTTACCTCAAAAACTTATTGAAACCTTCTCCAAATATCTGTTAGAAAAAGGGAGGGGGATGGGGTCACAGAAATAAGACCATTGTGTCTCTTATCATTAGCAGRGTAAAAGGAGGAAACCAAGGAACTGCAAACCAGTCGGTTTCAAGTGAAAAAAAAAAAAAAACCCAAACAAACAGTGGGATATTTAATCAAAGAAAGAGATGAGTAATAATCATGCCCCTTGCCAAGAATGAATCATTCCAGATGAGTCTGTTTTCCTTCTGTGACAGATTCCAGTTCTTCGTTTGCCATTATTATTCACTGTTCTGTCATCAATATCTTGTGTTGTAGTGGAGAATGTCCTTATTAAGTTCTYAGATGTTCCTTAGCTGGAGGGGCTGCAAGCACTGGCTTAAAACTCAAAAGGATCCAGACAAATCAGAGATCAGATCAGCAGGGAAAATCTGACATTTAGGAAAGAGTGGCTGTCCAAACACAGARCAGACAAGCAGAAGACCTATCGGCTGCAGCGCTCATGGGTTACACTATTGCCATATTGAATTCCAATATGGGATGTATAAATGAGAACTGCTTGTGAAACACATGACGTTTTCTCTCCTCATTCCAGCAAGAGGATCTCTCAATGGGTCTCCTAAGATCACCTTCCAGTGGGGAATTAATTCTTTGTATTCCCATTGCTTTTTTTTCTAGATTAAAATACAGCAGAGAAGCAGTGGGAAGACAGAAAATTAACAGAGAATTCCTGTGAAATTGCCCTAGGATGCCTGACCTCTTCCAGAAGTATGTTTCTGTGCCCTTTCCAGGACACACTCTCTAGGGCCATGATAATCCAACACAATAAGATTAGGATCCAAGCCACACAATAAGATTAGGATCCAARCCACCTGGACAATGCTGTTTGCAACCCCACAAGGGACTGGTGAAAGTGTCGTGATCAGGTAAGTCATAACCACAAAGCTCATTTCCTGATGTCATTTTAGCTCTTCTCTCAATAAAAGYGAGCTCTGAGATGCCACTTGCCTTGGTGACATCATGGGACAGGACACTGTGCTGTTCTAGGGGTATCTTTCAACCCTGGGTGCTTTGTCCATTGAGAATAAATGAGAGCTGAGAAAGGCCCACAGAGAGTGGAGACATCAAAACAGGCATGACCTGGAGATATTCATATTCTTTCTTCTGCTGAAGCTGCCTGGAGTGACTCTGCCTCCTGAGTGCTGCCATGGCCTGGATTAGGGGCTTTTGTCCCCAAAGTCCACCYCCTCAATGTCACCTGGGGCTGTTTCAGGCTGCTGTTGCTGTGGCAAGGCAGGAGTTGCCTCCAAGTCTCTCCTCAGCACTGGAGCTGCAGTGACACCAGCAGCAAAACCAGCCTGGGTCAGCACTGGGGCAAATATTCACAGAATCACGCAATTTGTTAGGTTGGAAGGGCCCCACTAGRATCACCRAGYCCAGCTTCTGGYCCTGAGYAGGACCATCCCCAAGCTGACCTGTCCTGCTCCAGAGCACGGCTGCTGCAGTGCCAGCACGTCCTGAGCAGCTGGGCAGTGATGCCAGCTCATATTGTGGCCAGCGTGTCTGTCCCATGGGGCAAGGCTGTGTCTTGGACACACAAAGGGATGTCCAGTGAAGGGAACTCCTGTGCTGTGAGCCAGGATGAACAAGGGGCTCAGGGCTGGGACAGTCAGCACCGGGCACTGGGGGCAGAGGGGGCTCAGGGGGTACAGGGAGCTCGGAGCTGGAACACTCAGCACTAAACACGGGCTGATGGAGTGGGGTTCTGCACCCCSTCAGAGCTGGCACCAGTGTCTCCAGTGCCCTCGGGATCTGGGGCTGGCTGGAAGCCCAGCAGACCTGCTTCTCCCAACCCTCGCACCCTCTGCGTGGCCCCGATAAAGCACCACGGTTTGAGGTCCCCCTCTTGTGGCAGCAGGGACAAATGGCTGAGACAACACGAGCTCATGGGTTCTTCGGCCCGGCAGAACCCTGAGAAAGTGCTGCAGARGCAGGACACTGCCCACGGCCATCGATGTGTCCTGCCTGAGGTCACAGCACGGCTTGGGAGCAAAAACCAAACTGGGGACAAGTTCCACCCTTCACATACACATTGTCCCCACGTTGCTCTTACACCTTGTGTCATGCACCCACCATGCTCAGGGTCCTTAGTGGCTGGGTTTGGAGGAGCCCAAGTCCCTGCTGGATTTGGTGCTGGCTCGTCCCAATGATTTCCACAGCAGTTCACACCTCCTTGCACACCCGTGTGACCCCACCATACCCTGGTTCTCTGTGAGATGCCCAGGGAGCTGCACCCACAGCTCTGGTGATGTTGGCCGAACCTGCTCCGTACAAAGGTGGCTCAGGTTGGCCAGTGATGCACTGATGGGCTTTCTCCTCCCATCCTCCCAGGAACAGTGGGATCACGAT